GGCCTATATATGTGTATATATATACATATATGCGTGTGTGTATGTGTGTGACAGTTCGTGGCAATAGTCTCCACTTAGAGGGTTAGCTTTAAGTTTGGCGATCGTTTTTTGGTTCTTTGAAAAGGTGGTTTCTCTGACCAAATCTTTTCAGTATAATCGGTGTGAAACCCTTTATTTCTACCCCTAATGTGCATAATTTAGCTAATTTGCATATGTTCCCGACATGCGACAAAGGTGTGATTTGTGAAATTTCATTTCATCATCCAGTACGGTCATTTAATAATAATATAATAATATGCAGAAATTTATAACGCGCCAATTCTAACATTATCAAAGGCGCAGTGAACAATTAACCCAATTAAAGCGATTTTGTAAACAAAAAAGTTTTCAAATTGGTTTTAAATGAGTGTAAATTTGAAGATTGTCAAACAGAAAGAGGTAGTAGATTCTAAAGATAAGGTGCCTGAACAGAAAAAGAAAAAAAAAAAAAGAAAAAGAGCGTTGTCCATATGTTTTCTTTTTCCTTTCTGAAGGGGCTTGAAGAAGAAATTTATCGAGTGTACGAGTTCCGGGAGAGTATGGCGTAAGAAAATGTAGCAAATATGATGGTTGTTTAAAAAAAGAGTGATTTAAAAACAAGCAAAAGAATCTTAAATATTATCCGTTGTTTAATGCTAAGCCAATGAAGGTCTTTAAGAATGGGAGTAATGTGTTGTTTACGTGGAGTAAGCGAACAAGAAAATCCTGTATTTTTGCAAACTGACTGCTTAGATTAAGAGGAAATGTTTGTGATAACCTGGCAACTACAGTACGCACACACACACACACACACACACATGTCTTATGCATTGTTTATCGGTGAACCGAATACAGGTTTGACAATATTTATTGTTTATATTATTTTCGTTTAAAAACATTTTAAAGGATATTAGGAAAGTTATATATACCTACTATAGAATACTAGATCAAATTTTATTAATCGATTCGTGATGTGATGAGTGCAAACCTAGGCGTTGGGTACTTTTATTTAGTGTTTACCTAGGCCTAGGGGGCCTACCTAGCCTTGTGAGTAGAGCAGGCGTAGCCTTGCGAATACCAGCCACGCATGGCCCCTTCGCGAGGAGCTTGGGGCTTCGATCAGCCTTCAAAACGAAAGCGCTAATGCATTTTAGTACTGTAGTAGTACCCTGTTACCTTAAAGCCCCATTCCCTGCAAAATTTCATTTGTTTTAAGAAAAATCTAAATTTTTATATACAGGTATAAATATTTACAAATATAATTAATACGAAATTGCTAGTTTTAATTAACTGAATTTAGGCCTAGCCTAGACATTCCTAAACATGAAAAAAAAAGGAAAATAAGACAAATTTGATTTTTTATGTTCCACACAAAAAATAAATGCGGATGAATTTTTTAGGTTTAATTCTGCTATAAGTCTGCAAAGAAATATAGTATGCGCCGGAAACATTACCCTATCCAACACACAATCCAACACATAAAAATGGCCGACATGATATTTTCCGTTGCTAGTAATCAACACTTTTATTATTTCAAATCTGTTAATAAAAATTATTCTGACCGAAATTTTGACAATTAAACAAACATACGCAGGCCTACTCGATCAACTGTAGTGTGCGAAATGCGAAGTACAAAAACTAATTTCATTAGAGTGGGCAATCTTTATTGACTGTATAAAGTATACATAAAAGTGAGAACATTCCAGCGGATGTGATCTACAACCTCTGAATTTGCCTAGTAACGAAGAATTCGTCGAGAAAATGGTAATATTCTCCTATGAGAAATAGTCTGTATTTCTCATTTTTTAAATTATTTGGCGTAAAACTACAATTAATGCCAGTATTTTTCCATAGTTTATAATAATTAGAGTATTACGCATGCATTTTTTCTAAAAAAAAATCTTTTAGTGAAATTTTGCCGGGAATGGGGATTTAAGTCTCTCTATTTTAGTGCACCTGTGGCATGTTGGAAAGGTAGAGTACAACTAAAAGACAATTAGATAATGTGAACATTTTTAAATTAATTTTTTTTTAAAGTTATGTTCAAAAGGAAAAAAGGTGATCGAGACAAGACTACCCTAGTGGGTCTGGGGGAATTCCCCCACAAAATTGTTGTTTTATATGCCCGAAAATGACCTCTGAGGCATTTTGGGTAATCAATTATTTCTTTTTCTGTATTGCTTTCTTTTTTCTTTTCTTTTTCATTTTCCAAAAGTGGGGCCCCTTCCCTCAAAATCTGCCCCTTGTAAGTACACTAAGTAAATTTACACAATAATTTTTGTATCCTGTACCACCAGCCAAGGCAAAGGAAGTACAAGTAGGGGAAAAATTTTCCAAAATTAATAGGTTTTATACATGATTCATAATATAATGACTGCACCTTTCAAACTAAAACAAAAACAATAATGCAGAAACCTATATAAATATAAGATATAAATATTTTAAGTAGGACAACTAACAGGCAAGATACTGTACTTGGCTGTGTTTTGAAGTTTTTATTTTTGCATATTTAATGTAGCAATTTAACAATAAAATATTCTTTAAATTAAAATAAAAATTACATGTTATAAACTTTGTGAACCAGCTTGGCATTGAGTTTGATAATAAGTCCCAATACACAAACATGAGCTTTGCCAAGTTTCTTGATGAGAATGACTTACAACATTTATGCATAAATTAGGTGCACTTAGTCATTTGTAATTTAATTGTTTTTCCGATTTGATTAAACTATTTCCAATTTGGCTAAAGAAAATTTTTGAACTTTAGCCAAGTTGTTTAAATCAGTTTTGCTAGAGCATACAGTACAGCCCACAATTACTGCAATATTCCCCACACGTGGTAACTTCGTTGTAGTTGCGTGGTGGTAGAGTCTACCACCACATGTAAAACGTGGCCTGATAAACAATTACACCACGAGAATGTTGATTGTTTTGATGGGTCAATTAGCAGGAATAAACAATGTTTTGAACTACATTAAACAGTTGTCAATTACAGCAGAGAATTCAGACGTGTATCCAAGATATTTTCGAGCAAAATATGTTGTGTAGTATTTTATTTCAATTGTGCATTATTAGTAAGTTCGATCTCAGGATCGTCACTAGTTTCAGGATCGTCACTGTAGAGCATGTATCGGGTTCTCTAATTGAAAAGCTCATACTATTCATACCTGCAGTTGAATGTATATTTGTGACATTACTGTAATAACAATATTCCAGAACAAGTAAAATATTTCTTCAGTGTGATAGAGATATTAAATTGTACCATACCACAAATTCTTTAATCTATGTCTTAAGAGATTTTGCAATGGTGAGGGGGGAGTATGGTGGGGATTGTACAAAAGTCAATTACCAGTACAGTATTTTTTGAATTTCAAAGATTGTAAAATATGTGTTGATCCATATATAGTAACATTGTTGGAAAACAGTGATTTTATTTATTTAAAAAAAATATTTAAGGATAAATATATAGCAACATGATCCACAAGGAAATTTATACAATTTTTACCTTCAAAAAAGTGCTACATAATGCACAGTGATAACAAAATAGAATAGTTAACACTTTTCGTAACAATATATTTGAGAGAGGAGTTCCACTATAAATTAAATTATCAATATCAAAACCTATAGCAGAGCAGCACATCGTCATAAGTTCTAAACTTGGGAAAAGAGGGATCTGACCATATCCTGTCATAAAACTTTCGTTTGGCTGAGTTCTGACTAGAAAAAAAAAAGAAAAGAGGGAGAGAAAAAAAGAAAGGAAAAAACGAGGGTGCACCTTACTCCAAAAGAAGCTAACTTTCAATTTTTAAATTACGTATATGTACCAGTATCTATGGTCAAGCATTTCTAAACACAAATCTCCTCCACCCCACTCCCCTTTCCTCCACCCCACTCCCCTTTTCCCCACCCGCACTTGCTGCTTTGCACGTCACACATGGCCCTACCCAGAATTTTCTCTGGATCTGTCTCTGTAAACCAATAAAACTTTCATAACCTTGAGTGGCTGCATTGGTTATTATGAGGGATTTTTTTCCCCTGATTTCTGTGAATTTTTTTTGTAAGCATCAAATGATCTGTTTGTTGTCCCTTTGTAGTTGGAAGTGGTTTTTCTCAATTACTTTTTATAGGATGTGCTACTTGATGTTTGACTCTTATCGGAAGTTGATGTTTATATCATAAAATCACATTGTCAAATCATGAAACTTCTTATTCCAGTAATAACCTTTAATACTGTAAATGGTCGGAAGTTATGGTATATTGGGATGTTTATTGCAGTTATATTTACTATAAATATCTCAATAGTACAATGGAGGGGTATTATGGAAATAATAATGCTTAATAATGAAAAGGAAGCTAAAAGTATACATACTGATATGTACTGCATTTTTTATATAGCACAGAGAAGTTTCTAATTGGTTTTATATACTTTTAACGAAATAAATATCAAAATGGCTTTAAAATTAAATAACAATCAATCATGATCTTTATTTGATTAGTACTTTCCTCTAAAAAAAATAATAAAAGAGCAACACGCGTATATGCTGAGTCCTCATATTTGATTATCTTTAGTAGTTTAGAGTTTAGTAGTGCACTTCCTTATTGCATATTTCACCAGATGTGCTTGTAATAAACATCCTTTTCCTAATGGTATAAAAATCTTTAATTGTTTTGGCTTGCTGTTTCTGGCAGAATAAAAATAACGAAGAATATGGTGTATTTGCAGAACAAGTCTTACCTTTTTCAAATGTAAATTTGTACACAAAAACCAGTGTGCAAAATCATAAGCTGATGTGATGTACAGCATTTCAGTTTGATCAGTAGCGTAAACCTAGTCATCAAGTTGGTTGATACTATATTTCCAAGCCTATAGCCAGTGAGTTTTTTTTTAATGTTCCAGCATTTTTCAGAAAACCCGATTTGTGTAGCGAACCTCCTAAAGGCTATAAAAAAAATCCTTTCCTCTATTTGACCCAGTGGATGTTTTTTCCCTTTTCCTTGTTTTTTCTTTTTTTTTTTTTTAATGCAAGAGGTACTCTTTAATCCCCTGAACCCCATTTGGCTCTTAGGTGTCGTTCCATAACTCAATGCTCAGAACCCCTTCCCCCTTTTAGATGCTGGCTATAGGCATCATTCCTTGGGGGTATCTTAAAACTAAAACTGACCTGTTTTTATGATTTATTTATTGTAATTAATATTAGGAATTTTCTGTGACAAAATTCAGACAGGTTGAGTTTTTAAGTAATAAAAATGGCTATTTCAAACACTGTATAATAAGATACAGTTATAAAACAATGTACAGTATTTTTGAATGATAACAGTTTTTAATCACACATGTACTTCAGAAATTCTTTGAGACATAATATAGCCTTGTGTTGGCATGCTAAAATACCAAAAGCAGTGATCAATGACGTCTCTTCTTTTGTTACTGAATTATGACTAACTATATAAGCGAAAAACAATTGTACCAGAAAGTACAGGTGATTGTCAGCCAAGTACAATGTTAACCACTGTTGCGTCTGTGTACCCATGATCACATAAACTTTTTTTATATAGGCCTACATTGTTCTGATGTTTTTTAGAACTCTTTATTTCCTATAAACTATAAAATATAGAATTGTAACAAGATATACATTTATTAATCTGATAAAATATTGCTTTCATAATTATAACAGAACAAAATCAATTCAAACTCCACCCTCCTCAAAAAGACTTGTTGAATGCAAATTCATCATTGACCTCCTTAATTCACTTAAAAGCACCACATCAGATGTGCATGCAGCTACATTGCTAAATCAGTAACAACTTAACAAATAGCTCCTAATAAATGCATTCTTAACCACACTTCAGTATGCATTCTTAACCACACTTCAGTGTCATTTAAAAAAAATGACATCCAACACATTAAAATCCGCTGATAATAATTACAAACTAAATCAAGTTATTTTATAAACATCTTGAAGTTCCTTTTAAGTGTGTATCCACATGTCCAAAAAGAGATTATAAAATCCATACTTAAGATTTACCATACAGATGCCAAAGATAATCCTTGCCAAAAAATTAAATACTGTACTTCATTTATAACAATTATTCTGGAAGCTGTCTAACATGGGTCTGAAGATTGCTGGCTGAGGACAGCAGAATCCAGAGAAGAATGATGATACAAGTGCTATGTTTTATTTTATTCCTATTCAGTCTACAATTTTTCAAATACAAAATAAATCTTTCTTTTATTCTGTATTTTTGATCTCAACAATTAGGATTTGTCTCCAGATATAATGATTAGAATTTAACAAGATACTTCAGATGTTCTATAATGATCCTAGTTTTATATGTTTTTAAATGCTACAGTACAGTATATTTTGATTTTTATTTTCTTCATATGTTTCATGGTTGATAATCATAATATTGTATTTAATACATTTATGGTGCTATTTTTATATTTGATAATCAATTTCTGTAAAATATTACAAAATTATGTAAGTGTATAACAGTTGATTTTGTATTGTGAAAAGGTCAGAAAAAAAATCTTGAAAATAAAACGCAGCAGACGTCCCAATTCTCCCAGAATTTGAGACAGCCTTTCTCACACCTGCAAGAAAGCAAACATCTACTGGAAACTAACCCATCTCCCTCAAATTCATTATATTTAAGTGCGTTTTTCTAATATGTGAAGTCTCGCCACAAAATGAGTCTAATGGTTAGAAATTCAAAAATTGAGTTTATATTATATTTGGGTAGATCACATTATAAGCTTTCATTTGGTCTTTGAATGGTTTCCCTACTATAAGTAAATCCAGAGATGTGAGCATTTAAAGTTTAGGTATATAAGAACCAAGAAAATCGATCTCAAAGATAAACTAACCTGTACAAATAATATGACAAGAATTACAGAATATTGCAGAGAACACTGTCTTGGCAAGAAAATTCACTTACAAAGTATACAATCATAAAATATGAGTATCAAGTTATTTAAAAACATTAAAATCAAAAATGTGTCAAAATATTCACTTTGGCCTGTTTGGTGAATATCTCAATATGATTTCACCAACGATGCATTTCATTTCGTGGTGAGACCTCACATATTATGATGAATTGTCTCCCAAAAATATAATTAGATGGGTTAAGGCAGGCTATAGAGGAAAATTGTTTTTTGATATGTTGTAGAACTGACACAAAGAACATATTTGACGAAAAACTCGGAAGCAGTTAGTTTTGAGTATTTAAAAACTGGGGGGAAAAAGGGACTCTCTCTTCTTTTGTTACTGTGAAAGTATGACTAAGTACAGTATATAAACACAAACAATTGTACCGGAAAGACAGGTGATTGTCAACCAAGTACAATATCAACCACTGGGGCTTCTCTGTACCGATGACCACATAAACTATTTTTATATAAAAATTAATATTGATGGATGTTATTTGAAACTTTTTATTTCCTCTAAAATATAAATTGTAATGATGACAATAGCTAACATACTGTACACGACCTTGTAAGTTTATAATACATTTATTAATCTGATACGGTATTGCTTTCTTAAATTATAATAGAACAATAATCAATTCAATATAAACATAAACTTCCTCGAAAAGAATTGTTGAATGCAAAATCATTGTAAGTGTGCATAATTCATCATTGACCTCCTTAAATAGTTTTCAATATTTACAAACTAAAGGGAAAAGAGACGTAACCACCTTTTTTTTAACCTTTTCTACCAGTTTTTAAATATTCAAAAAGCTGTATCTCATTATCCGCTTCCAAGTTTTTTTGTCAAAAATGCTTTTCGTGTCTTACAAAAGTCAGTTCTACAAAATATTTTTTTAAAAAGTTTCTTCCGGAGCCTGCCTTTAAGTAAGCTCATTTAACTAATCTCCCTGAAGTGACATCTTCCAAATTTGGACCCCCAATACTGTTATTATAAAGTTTAGTAGATTTAAAAAATAATATTCTTTATTTGTAGATATGAAAATTTAAAATGTTGCCAGGCACAAGTCTTCAATCGTTTTTGCGGAGTTGGATTGGGGTTGTTGGCTTTATGGCCCTTGGAAACACAGTTCAATGTTTCATCTCAGGGAATGGAACCACTGAAAGACTGTATGCTGGGTCTGAAGACCAAGGTAAAAGTTAATTGGTTCTCGTTTTTCAGAATTAATTTTAAAGTACTTGGGAAGTTGTCCATTTTTAAAAATTTTCAGATGAGCACAAAATCATATTCTTTTTTTTAATACCCCCTTCCCTTCCTATTATTTGATGATTGTCATTTTGAGATCATCATTTTTTCATTTGCATAAAAGATAAACTGTTGACCCCTTCCCTTAGTATATTTTTGTAAACTTATGAAAATACGGATTACCACTTGCAATATACAGTTGCCTAAGTCTAAGAGTAATTTCTAAGTCGATATAATTTTACATGGCAAAGTGTTATGTTTTCCATTAATTAACCATCTGTAAGTCAAATTTTATCGTCGAACAATATTTCAATGGCATTTTGGATTCAACTTTGCAAGTTCAACTGTAGTATTTTTGGTTTATTATTTGCTGCAAGTTTAATAATAACATAGTTGCTAACAAATTTATGGTGAATTTTTCCCTTTAATTTAGTGTTCTTAGTAGACATAGTGATTAATTGGTGATCCGCTAACGTTAGCGGATCACCTCTTGTTATTGTCAGGGATCATCATCTTTTTATTCTTCTTTCTTTCTCCCCTTTTCTGTTCGCACGATATCTCAAAATTGCCACGAGTTACGCAC